CTTGGAGTCCTGGGAGCCCGATGGCTCGGACCCCGTCTCCGTGGGCGGCCGGCCCGGCTGCGAGGGCCGCGGGCCTGCGGCGGCCAAAGGGCGGCGGCGGCGGCGGCGGAAGGCGTCGGGGCGAAGGCCTGTCGTGGCTCGTTGGGGCTCCTGGGAGCCCTCCTCGGGCCTCCTTGTTGGAGGCATGCAGGTAGGAGGAGGAGGAGGAGGAGGAGGAGGAGGAGGAGGAGGAGGAGAAGGAGGAGAGGAGGAGGAGGAGGAGGAGGAGGAGGAGGAGGAGGAGGAGGGAGGAGGAGGCGAGGAGGAGGAGAGGAGGAGGAGGAGGAGGAGGAGGAGGAGGAGGAGGGGGAGGAGGAGGAGGAGGAGGATGAGGGGGAGGAGGAGGGGGAGGGGGAGGGGGGGAGGAGGAGGAGGAGGAGGAGGAGGAGGAGGAGGAGGAGGAGGAGGAGGAGGAGGAGGAGGAGGAGGAGGAGGAGGACGAGGACGAGGAGGAGGAGGGCTTGTTGGGGCTCCTTGGACCGTCAGTAAAAAAGACTCGGCGGCTCGAAGGCATCATGGCGAAGGCTCTTCATGGGGGTCTTGGGACTCTTGGGGCCCTCCTCGGGCCTCGGGGCCGTCCACAAAAAAAAGACTCGGGACGAGAAACTGGTCCTGGGGAAGTGGTAAGAGGTTGTGGCGGGGGCGACTGTGGCGACGACGATGGCGGCGGCGGCGGCGGCGGGGGGCGACTGTGGCGACGACGACGGCGGCGGCGGCGGCGACGGCGGCGGCGACGGCGGCGGCGGCGGCGGCGGCGGCGAGGGCGGCTATAACGGCGACGGCGACGACGACGACGCTCACGACGACCCCAAATCTTCATTCTGGTTTTTTTCCCCATGTCTCGGACTCTGGGCGCCCGTTGTCGGGCCATGGCCTGGGCCATGCGCGCTGAAAAGGCCACGACGTCGAGTGTCTGGGATGACACCTCCTCCCCCCCCCCCGCCCCCCATCCACGCTCTTTAACCAGCTCCATCGCCCCCCCCCCATCCACCCAATCGTCCTCCATCCATCCATCCTACACCTCGAAAAGATCCATCCATCGTCAATCGCTGCCCCCGCATTCTCTTCTCCAGCGCTAGCGTCAGCGTCAGCGCTGGCTGGCGCTGCTCCGCGGATAAGTTCGAGCTTAGCCACCTCACGTCCAGGGGTGGGGCCACGGAGAGGGGGGGGGGGGGGGGGGGGGCGAGGGGGGGGAGCAAACGCCCACACCCGCGAGGGCGAAGGGGGGGGGGCGAAGGGGGGAGCACACGTCCACACCCGCGCCCCCGTGGGGCTGGGAGCCCCGGCCACGCCGCGGCCCGAAAGGCCGCAGGGTGAACCCTGCCGTCGCTCGGACGTCCATTTCCCGTGCGCATTTTTCGGTTTCGTGCGCGGTTTTTTTGCTCGATGGTCCAGAAGGGTCCTCGAGGGTCCTCGCCGAAGGAAACATACACACGTCCGAGGGATGCCAAGGAACAGGGGCAGAGCAGAGGCAGGGCAGGGCGCCGAGGGGGGCGCGAGGGAGGCCGCGAGCGCGCCGGGGAGGGGGGCGCCGGGCACCCCCCGCTGCGGCTCGCTCGCGGCACGGGGCCGCAGGGGGGCGGCGCGAGGGCGCCCGCGGCCCCCGCGGGAAGGGCGGAGGCGCCGCCCGCAAGAGCGCTGCGGGCTGCGCCGCGCCGCGCCGCTCCTCGACAGCAGCATCAACAACAACACCAACAACAACACCAACAACAACGACATCACCACCAACAACAACATCAATGACAACAGCAACAGCACCATCATCAACAACACCAACAACACCAACAACAACAACAGCAGCAACAACAACACCAACAACACCAACAACACCAACAACACCAACAACACCAACAACACCAACAACAACAACAACAGCAACAACAACATCAACAACACCAACAACAACAGCAACAATTACTAGCACGTGGGGACACTCCGTTCTCACCAGTGCCAGGGTTTTCATACGACGCCCGCCAATACCCCCACTTTGTGGGGGGGCCGGTTCAAGCTCTACCACATTTCCAAACGACTCTTCGCCACCACCCACACCCAGCTTCCCGCCCTATGACGTTCGGACACTTCACTTCGTGGCCTGCGGACGACCGTGGCTACTACACTGGCGCGTGGCTACTACACTGGCGGATTGTGGCCCCTGGCAGGCGCGCGAACGCCGTTGAAAGAGCTTGCGAAAGTAGCTCGCGCGAGCTCATGTAACATAAATGTTGAAAAACCATTGGTTTTTAAGGATTCGGACAGCGCGCGCGGGTAGAAATTTTGAAAATCCGTGCACGTGTTTTTCGAGGACCTACGGTGCGATTCGTGCGATTTTATGATACGCGGTGCTGAAATTCTTAAGAAACCCAATGGTGTTTGAAGATTTCGGCGTGCGCGCGCGAAGAAAAAACGAATGTGTCCCATATGGTATTATTTGACAGGGATGATGGCCCTGGCAGGCGCGCAA